CTCTCGTGCTCATTCTCCCCTGCTCCTTGAGCAGCTCTGGGTGTGTATTAATGCACTCTCACCAGACACCCTAGCATCTAGCCTATGGACCCAGTTCTAGGAGCTGGCTGGCTCCAGCTGTGGCTCCGGACCACCGAACTACACTGCTTCTGTGCCTCGGCGCTGGGGCTGGGGCTCACTTTCTCCTCCACTCTCTCGACCTCTGACTACTCCTCTGGCCGTTTCCTAGGCAGGTGACCAAGGGTCCCAGTGAGACTGGTTTCCCCCTGGAAGTCCCACATCCCAAGAAGCCCATCATTCGCCCTAACCTGGGGAACTCTGGGGGTATCCCCAGCCTCTCCCTGGGTTTTGCAACTATCCGTTGGCCTCTGGCTGCTAACTAGCTTCGGGAACAGACTCTGCCTTTTGGGAGTTCTCGAGTCCCTCTTTGTTCCCTCGTCAGGTGCCAGCCAACACCAGACACACTCCTAAGGCCTCTATGCTGCTCCCCAATCCTCTGCTCAGGCCCTGGGACCTAGTGCAAACCTGGTACCCAGCACGGGCTGCTGTTTCTGGCCTCAGCACGTGTTCCTTGCTCCACATAGGCGCTGCTGCGCTCGGCTACTCCTCAGCCTGCGGCCCTTCCCTGTCTCTCCAGCTGTCCCACGGGCGTGTCTGTCCAACTGTCCCAGGGTCTGTGCGTGGTCTGTCCCTCCGCTGCTTCCCCACCTGTTCTTTAGCCTCAGCAGCCGGCCCCTGTTCCCATTTCCTGTTTCCCAGTGGCTCTGCCTCGCCTGCCCACAGATTCTCCTTCCCAGATCTTGGGAAGATGCTTGTCCTGCAGGCTCACTCAGCACACTGGACCATTTTCCTTTTTCCCGTGTTAGCTGTGGCTCTGTTTTCTTGTTCCTCTGGAGAGCCCCTGCTCCCTCTGGCTACTCTCTGGTCTTCTGTCTCCTGGTCTTGCCTCCTATTTCATGATCCTTGTCTCCTGTTCTTGGACCCTTTGGCTCTTCCATGCTCCCCACTGTTATTACTTTAGCCCTGACGATTGTTTTTGGGTTCCTGCCCTTGCCTGGCCTCTTCCTCCAGTTTCCCATTTACTTGCTGCTCCCTTGTGCTCTGACCTGTCCCCTGGACCATCCTCCACCTCCATTAACACACCATGGTCCATCCACCTGTTCCCTGCCCCTTGGTAGTCTGTGACCTCCCTCTGGCTACTTATGCCTCACCCATTTCTCTCATACTGACCCCTGATCTTTCCAGCTTCAGCTGTGATTTGCTGGTTGTTCAAGCTACTCTCCATCCCAGCGAAATTCATCAGTGTCCTTGTTATCTCTGTCCGTCCCCTGCTCCCTGACATCTAATGAGAAAACCAGGAACCTAGGAAATAAATAAGTGAATAAATAATATTCAGGGCCCTCCCTGGTGGTGCAATGGGTTAGTGCACAATACTGCACACTAGCCGCAGCCGCTTCAGTGCGAGTTCAATCCCAGGCCCTGAAGGTTATCCACAGGGCACAGTAGATCTCTCCTGGCCCGCCCGCTGCTCCCCTCGGCAGTGTACTTCGTTGATCTGCTTGTTCTGCTCCCCCACTGTCTCTGGTGAATCCTTTTACCATCCATGCACCTCTGGCCTGTACCCCAGTTCTGTATGCATAAACAAACAAATCTTTAAAAAAAATAAATAATATTCATCCAAGTCTTGGTCATTTCCATTTCTCCTCATAAGGGGCAGAGATCTTTGGTTGGGAAGGAAGTGACGAGTGAAGAAATATCCTTGCAGAGTCTAGTATCATTCACTGAGAAATTCCCACACATCAGCTGGGCAGGAGGCCACGTGCAGAGGGAAGGTGAGGACCACACAGCTGTGGCCCCAGCCTGTGGGTCTGACTGATGCGATGGAGCAGAACCCAGGCAAGGCCACTTTCCACGGGGCAAAATATGCTCCTTCCAGGCAGAAAGTTATTTACCACTCACTGTCCCCATACTTTTGACTCCATATATAATTGCAGTGATTTGGGCAAAAGGATTTAAGTGTGGGAATTTCACCACAGAGGTTCTGATCCCAGCAGAAGGCCTGAAACACCCTCACCGCACCAATAGTGGATTAACTATAGCTTATCCAAAGGACATAATGCTCCCCACCCACCGTGTGTGTGTGTGTGTGTGTGCACACGCGCGCACGCAGGGAAGTATTTTCTGCCCAGAAAGCCATGCTAAACTGCCACGCTCAAAAGGAGACAGCAAATGCTATGGCTCCATCTTTGAACCGAGCTGCAGTGTGACATGTGTATGATACGCGTGTGCACTCCCGCCCCTCACAGGTGCCCACAGCCATGCTCACGTGCACACACAAAGGAGAACGCACCTAAAGGAGAGAGAGCTAACTGTGGCTCTATTAATAGTGGGCAATGCTGGGCGTATGTGTAATTTTTCCTTCTCATCTATTGGCTTGCCTGCATTACTAACTTTTTTTTTTAAAGATTTATTTATTTATTCATACAGAACTGGGGTACAAGCCAGAGATGCGGAGGGTGAGAGGATTCACCAGAGACAGAGTGGGGAGCAGAACAGGCAGATCGACGAAGTACACTGCTGAGGGGAGCAGCGGGCGGGTCAGGAGAGGTCTGCTGCACCATGTGGGTCACCTCCGGGGCAGGCGGGAATCGAACTCATGCGGAAGTGGCTTAAGCTTCTTAGTGCAGTGCTTTAACCTGCTGCGCCACCAGGGAGGGCCCGCATTTCTAACATTTTATTGTGAAATTATGAAATGGCGAAAATTCAACAGATGGTGCTGGGAAACTTGACAGCCACATACAGACAAATGAAACGAGGTCATTATTTAACTCCATGCATGCAAACTAATTCAAAGTGAACTAAAGACTCGGACATAAGGCCTGAAGCCATGAAATACCAGGGAACATAAGCACTGCACCCCTGGACATCAACTGCAAGGATGTATTTGGGGAGTCACCTCTCCTGGCAAGGCAAACTAAAGCAAAAATAAACAAATTGGTTACTGCTCTTTATTTACAATTGGGAACACATGGAAACAGCCCAAATGCCCAAAACTAGATGACTGGCTTAAAAATTTGTGGTACATATACACAATGGAATATTACTCAGCAACCAAAAAAAAGAAACACATGTCTTTTGCAGCAACTCGGATGGAGCTGGACAAGATCATGCTTAGTGAGATAAGCCAGAAAGAGAAAGAAAAATACCAGATGATTTCACTCATAGCAGAAGTATAATGGACCAGGAGAGAAAATAACAAGAATAATGAACAGCTATATACCAGAGACATTTTGTGGGGGTGGAGTGGGGAATGGGATCAAAAACAGTGTGGGGAGGGAAGTGCACTGGACTGTGGTGATGGCACAGGGGTGATTTGGTGATGGGAAGCCCAAGGGGATTGCAACTGAGATGGAAAAGTGCATAAAATGATGTAAAAGTAAACTATTATATTATTTATTTTTTTTTAAAAAGTAAACAAATGACACTGCATCAAACTAAATGCTGTTGTATCACAAAAGAAGCCACAAAATCTAAAAGGTAACATATGGACTAGGAGAAGAGATTTGCATATCACACATCTGACAAGGGATTAACTTCCAAAAATAAAGAAAGCAGACAACTCAACAACAACAAAAAAACCTAATTAAAAAAATAAAAAGAGGCCCTCCCTGGTAGCGCAGCGGGTTAAAGCACAGCACTAAGAAGCTAAGGCCACTGCAGCGTGAGTTCGATTCCCGCCTGCCCCGGAGGTGACCACATGGCGTGGCAGACCTCTCCCGACCCGCCCGCTGCTCTCCTCAGCAGTGTACTTCATTGATCTGCCTGTTCTGCTCCACCCTCTGTCTCTGGGGAATCCTCTCCCCCACCACCCCTCTGGCCTGTACCCCAGTTCTGTTTGCACAAATAAATAAATCTTTAAAAAATAATAAAAAATAAAAATAAATAAAAAGAGGGCCCTCCCTGGTGGCACTGCGGGATAAAGCACAGCATTAAGAAGTTAAAGCCACTTCAACATTAGTTGATCCCCACCCTGGATCTGACCCACATGATGCGGCAGACCTCTCCTGACCCGGCCGCTGCTCCCCTCAGCAGGGTACTTCAGTCATCTGCCTGTTCTGCTCCACACTCTGTCTCTGGTGAATCCTCTCACCCACCACACCTCTGGCCTGTACCCCAGTTCTGTAAGCATAAATAAATAAATCTTAAAAAAAAAAAAAAGAACTGGGCAATACACTAAATAGACACTTCTCCAAACAGGACATAAGGATGGTCCAGAGGGACATGAAAAATGCTCAACATCACCTTCTATAAGGAGATGCAGGTCAGAATTACGACGAGCTACCACCTCACCCCTGTGAGAATGGTCCATAACAAAAAGAATGGAAATAACAAATATTGGTGAGGATGTGCAGAAAAAAGAACTCTCACCCACTGTTGGCGGGAATGTTACTACAATCTACATGGAGAACAGTATGGAGATTCCTAAAAGACCTAAAAATGGAAATACCGAATGATCCAGCAATACCACTCCTGGGTATTCACCCAAACAATATGAAAACTCCACCATGAAGAAACTCAGGCCCCCGTGTTCACAGCAGCACCTGCCACAATAGCCCAGTCATGGAGCCCTCCTAATGCCCATGGACAGGTGACTGAAAAAAGAAATCGCGCAATGTTTGGCCTCCCCGGTGGTGCAGGGGGTGAAGTCTCAGTGCTATCAAGCTATCTCTAGCCACTACAGGGTCTGAGTTTGATCCCAGCCAGGGATCTGACCCACATGGCGCGGCAGACCTCTCCTGACCTGCCCGCTGCTCCCTCAGCAAGTACTTGAGTAGATCCACCTGTCCTGCTCCCCACTCTGTCTCTGGTGAATCCTTTCACCCTCCCACACCTCTGGCCTGTATGCATGAATAAATAAAAATAAATATTTTTTAAAATAAGTTGTGGAATGTATACCCAGTGAAATACCACTTGGTTATTAAAAAAAGATGAAACATTGCCTTCAGGGACAAAATTGAGGATCTTGAGGTGACTCTGCTATGTGAAATGAGTCAGGAAGTGAAGAACAGTTATCAGATGGTTTCAACAGATGTGGAATATAAGTAACCAAATAAAACAAACTGGCAAAACAAAAATAACACTTATATTCTATGAAAATATTATAGTCTCGGGGAGCAGGGTGGGGGAAGGGAAGGTGACAGGGTAGTGGCACTGGAGCTTTGGAGGAGGGTGAGTGAAGCATGGCACATGTTGAGGTGAAGGTGCACTCCCCAAATTATATTGCTATGTTATCAAATCAATACGACCTTATTTAAAACAGAGCAAAATAATATTTTAAAGTTTCACTCATAGCAGGAGTATAATGGATCAGGCGAGAAAATAATAAGAATAATGAACAGCCATATACCAGACATTTTGTGGGGGTGGAGTGGGGAATGGGATCAAAAATGAGGGGGGAGGGAAGTGCACGGGACTATGGTGATGGCACACGGGTGACTTGGTGATGGGAAACCCGCGGGGATTACAACTGAGATGAAAAAATGTACAAAATGATGTAAAAATAAACTATTATATTATTTAAAATAACAATAATAATAATAATATTTTAAAGTTCAATATTATCCGTATGACCACAGGACCCAGAGCCTCTGTGAGGAGGAGCCCATCCCAGGCTGGCAGCACCCACAGGGTGACCTGAGGCAGGGCTGGCGCCCATGGTCTTCTGCTGTTACAGAATCTGGAGGGGGACTTTCAATGGGAACCAGGGGCTTGGCTGTAGTGTGGTGAGGGTGTCCCCAGCTGTTGCTTACCTTCTGGGTGGCCAGGACATGCCCTTTCGTAGGCCATTTTATTCATGTTTGAAAGGAGAACTGGACCCTACAGACTGTGGTCTCTCTACTACCCTGCCATTCCCTAAGTTCCCAGAGTCAGGAGAAATCAGCAAATGCCCAGAGGTCAGGGAGAAAAGAGACTCTGATGGGGACCTACTGAGTGTGAAAAGAGCCAAGAGACAGTGAAGGGCCTGTGTGGGTGTCAGGGTGTAGTGGCTTCGTGGCTGGGGGCAGTGGCCACACCTCGCCCTCCTCCCACAGACACCCTGCAGGAACCAGGACGCCGTGGGGCTCCTCCCTCCCTCCTGGCTCCTCTATCTGTCCATCACATTTCCCACTGCAACACGCAGCCTCTGGAGTGGGCATCAACGTGTGGTGAGCACCCTCAGCCGGGGCTGCTGGGCTGTCTCAGGGCAGGAGTCTGGAATCTGTCACTCTTGTGACCCACCTGCCCTCGTCCTGAGGCCCTAGTGACAGGTCATTCCCCCCTGGAGTCCTCTCCCTCCTCACCTCCCACGAGCCGCCCTGGCCCTGTGCAGCCAGTGCCCGAGACCCCCTGGGAGAGCTCCACATGGCTGCCATGTTCCCGCTGGGCTCAGCCCTCGGCCTCTCTTGCAGACAGCTCCTCTCCTCCCAGGAACTCGAAGCCTGGTGCATCTGAGGACTCAACCAGCGCTACTGGGGCTGGACGGAAGAGCCTGCCGTGTCCACTGCTGGGTCTGGCCCAGGGGCTCTGCAGAGACTCCAAGAAACCTGGAAAGACAGTGTGTACGTGTCAGCTAGTTAGTGTTCACCTCACAAATAATTCCTAGGGGCACCAAGGGGTGGGCCACTGTGCTGGATACTGTGGAAGAGAAAAGATTTGTACACCCACCTCCAGGTATTAGTGTACAACAGAATCAGGTGGAAACTGATGAGATTTAGTATGAAATGAATGAGGGTTTGAATTCTTTTCAATGGTCTAGCTAGAAACTGGGGAAGTCACTTCGGCCCAAGTCCCTTCATGTTAACACTGAGGATGAAAACATCTGTCTCTTGGGTTGCTTGAGTTAAATGAGGCGATGTTTCCAAAGCCCCCACACCTACCTGACAACTGGTACACATGCCATTGATATTAAATATGCTATAAATTTAATTTTCACATTCATTCTGTGAACTAGTTATTACTATTACTCCTATTTACCATTAGAGTTGTTCATATATATTAAGACACATACCCTAATCAGGTAGATAAATCAAAATGAAATTCTTTAAAATTTTCAAATACTCCAAAAAGGGCAGGAAAAAGAAAAAAGAGAAATCAAACAGAAGACAAAATATGTCAGACTAATCCTTAACATACAAATAATCACATCAATAATTTGCACCATCCAAATACATCAATTGTAAGATAGATTGGTAGATTAGATTTTTTAAATTATGACATAACTATATATAACCTATAAGAATTTTAATTCAAACAAAGTGATATATATAGGTCAAAAACAAAAGGATAAAAAATACATGCAAATAGTAATTAAAAATAAGCAGGAGTGGATTTGTTAGTATTGAAAATAGTGCATTTCAGAACAAAAAAAAAAATATTACCAGGGGGAAAAAAGGGACATTGCATAATGATAAATGAGTCAATTCACCAAGAAGATATAGTTAGGCCTCCCTGGCGACACAGCACTATCAAGCTATCACCAGCCACTGTGGCCTGAGTTTGACCGCTGGCCAGGGAGCCGACCCACATGGTATAGCAGACCTCCCCTGTCTCGCCTTCAGCAGTGTGTTTCAATAGATCTGCTGTTCCGCTGCTCACTCTGTCTCTGGTGAATCCTCTCACCTCCCCACCCCCACATCTCTGGCCTACACCCCAGTTCTTGTATGCATAAATAAAGAAATAAAATCTCTGAAAAAGAAGACAGTAATCCTAAATGAGTATGCACCATGCAACTGAATTGTAAAATGTGTGAAGAAAAATCTGACAGAATTGAAAGGAGAAACAGATAAATTCAAAACCCCTCCTTTAACAATTGCTAAAATAACTAGACATAAAATCAGCAAGTTTATAAAATAACACCATCAATCAACAGGATCTGGTCAACATTTATAGAACCTTAAACCCAATAACAGCAGGATACACATTCTTTTCAAGCACCCACAGGATATATATATAAAACTTATATATATATATATATATATATATCTTATAAATACTCCATTTTCTTGAGTGATGTAAAGCTTTGTATTCTTTATTTCCTCATATTCATTGCTAGTATATAAAAACACAACTTAAAAAAATAAATAAAAAAACACAACTTATTTTTGTTTTTTGGGTTTTTTTGGTAGCTTTCTTGCTACCAAATGTGTGTGTGTGTGTGTGTGTATATATACATGTATATATACACACACATATACACACATATACGTACATATATGTGTGAGTATACACGTATATATGTGTGTGTGTGTATATATATACATATGTGTGTGTGTGCGCGCGCGCCTGTGTGTGCGTGTGTTTGGTAACAAGGAAGCTACCAAAAAAAACAAAAAAACAAAAAAAAGGGGCCCTCCCTGGTGGTGCAGTGGGTTAAAGCACAGCACTAAGAAGCT